CCAAAACGAGCTGCTCTCTGCGCATCTCCACTCAGTTGCCCCACAATCCGCAGGGATTCCCCTCGCCTCGCTCGCGCCCGCCCTTATTCATTTAGCCGCCCCCCTTGCCCCCTGCCCTGGCGCGGACCGACATTTGCAACCGCCCGTGCCCGCCCGAAACCGCCCAGGAGCTGTTTGCGGAGTACGACGCCGACGCCAGCGGCTCCATCAGCTTTGACGAGCTCGCGTCGGGGCTGCAGCGCCAGGGCTATGACGTGACACAGTCAGAGGTGGGCGGGGGGTGGCGTTCTGCACCCTGGATTTGTTGGATTTGTCGTTGGCCACGCGGCCCTGGGAGGGCGGGTCGTGACTGTTGGTGCATGATGGGCGCGACGCCCTCGGCTCGTGGGCCGCTGGGGCTAGCTGCGGCGGGCCCGGCGCCGCGACGCCGCCCGCCTCTCCGCCCCTCCGCGCCTCCCTGATTGTGTGTTGATCTCACCGCTTCGAGCCACCGCGGGTGTACCCGGCATGACGGCGCAGCGGCCTGCAACCCAGCAGCCAGCCATCCGGCCTGAGACATACATCAAGTTCCACAAAAGCCGCTTCAGCTCACCATCTCGTTGACGCTCATTAAACTCCGCCCTCAACCTCGGGCGCCACCGCCCTCCACAGGTGCGGCAGCTGATGGATAAGATGGACATTGACCACAACGGCAACGTGGAGGGCGACGAGTTCGTGGCTGCCCTGATCGACTGGAGCCAGGTGGATATGGGCGCGAAGCCGCCGTGCGCCACAACAGCAGCAGCTCCCAACATGGGCAGTGGATGCGGCCGCCACACGCGCGCAGCCCGCCGCACCTGCAGCACCTGCGGCAGACGGGCTCGGCTTGGCACAGCCCCGCAACCTCCGTTGCACGACGCGTCAACAGGCGCCGCTGTCGCGGATCGGAACGTCCCGGCGCCGGGCGCCCGCCTCCGTCGCCCATTGCTCCGTCCCGCCGCCCCTGCGGGCGCTGCCGACCCGCCTTTCCCCATGCGCGCGCGCAGGTGATGCAGGGCAAGGAGTGGCAGGCCTACGTCGACGCCGCTTTTTCGCGGCTGGACGTTGATGGGGACGGCTTCATAGAGCTGGAGGAGCTTTTGAATCGCATGCCCAAGGCGTTTTTTGAGGGGTGAGCGAGCGCGGGCTCAGCGTCTCTGAGAGAGCCGCATTGGCCCTGTGTGTGGAGAGCGCAAGGTGTGTGTGTGTGGGTGGGGGGTGCGTGAAGGCATGCTACGCGTGTCGAGCCGGCGGGCGGGGGCGGCTTTCTCTTGCTGCTTAGTTGCCCCGGGAGCCTTGCAGAGCGTCCAGCGCGGCCCCGCCGTCATGCGTGCCCTACCCGCCTCACCCTGCCCCTCTGTGGCGGCGCTCCCGCTCCCCGCAGCGACGCCGCGGAGCGGCTGGCGGAGGCGAAGCGCATGCTGCGGGAGGCGGACGCCAACGGGGATGGGAAGATCTCGTTGGCGGAGTTTAGCAGCTTGCTGCACGAGAATGTGGCCCCAGACAGCCTGTCCCTGTATGACAGCCGGATGCGCATCACAGAGGGCGCCGCCGCGGCGTGAGGGCAGCGGTCGGGCGCAGCGGGGACGCTGCGGCGCGCGCTCGCGCGCGCACGCGCTTGGCCACAGGGCACGGAGGCGCGGCGGGGCGCGGCGCAGGGGGCGGTGGTCGCGGGCGAGCGGCGACGCCGACTGGTTTGGGGAAAGCGAGGGACCGCTTTTGGCCGATCGCCGCAGATGGCCGCGCGGATGCAGCTTCCAGGGACCCTGTTCTCGTGCCTCGTAAACCCCAGTGGCCAGCTGCTGTCGTCGCTCCAGGGTTTGTGCGGCGGGCCAGCTGGCTCGAATTGCTCTGTCTGCCACAGCTTGTTTTGTGGCCCTCGGATGGCAGTGTGCATGTCATACAGAAGAGCACATTGAGACATTCTTTTTGCTGTCTCCCAAGCCCTCCGATCCCGCATTCATCCTTTTGCTGTGGATTTTGTGAGCGCACCTGCCACTCCCTCAGCCGTCTGCACACGCACCGGTGCATTCAGAGCCGCTTTGCGCTTCAGTCCGCACGCATGGGCCGGTGGGGGTTGCGCGCCCGCCCCCTGCCATTGCATCACTCCTTGACTTCTGAACCAATGCAGCATCGCTCTTGCTTGTGGCGCCTGTCCGCTTGGCGGCATCTTAGACATTGGTCCCGCACCGCCATGCGTGTCGCATGCAACCATGCATGTGCGCAGGCGCGAAGCGCACAAGCAGGGGACCTTGGCGATTTTTGCCTGCAACGGCCTTCTCCTTTTATGTTGATTGCCAGATGCACTCTTCTGGTGCACACGCATCAGGATTGCGTGCATGTGGTGTGCCGTGCGCACTTCACATCGCCACCACCGCCACCGCTTTCAGGCCCTTCCGACTGCTCAGAGCTCGCGTTACACTGGGACGACGGTCACCAGATATCTTGACAGATATACTCACGTACAATCATGCAACATGGCACTGAGAAGAGTGTGTGTGGTGCCGGGGTGGTGTTCATAGGAAGTGTGTTCCCAAGCTTGCGCAGCAGGGCTCGAAATCATCGCACCAGCGATGCAGGCAGGTTGAGGTGGTGGGATTGGGGTGGTGGATTTAGGAAACAACCAGGCATGAACGCAAAACTGTTCAGCAGCCGCTTTTCTGCTGTGTCCGCGCAAGGACTTCGCCCCGTTGTGTGGTTGCAAACGGGCTCAGGTGTGGTGTGAAGGATGGTGTGCGGGGTGGCGTGTCACTCGGGGTGCTGTGCGGTGACACGGGTTTGACAAAAGTGAGTCAGCGACACAGCCTCGCTCTCTGGCACCGGCGCGCCATAACTTCGGTGTTGTGGTGTGACAATACACAATACAAAAACTGTGTTGTGCAGGAGAGATGCAGTCGCGCGCATTCATCCAAAATCTTACGCAGTGCGGCCCTGTTTTGCTTGGCCCCCCACTTACATGCGGGGTCAGTATGCCGTTGCCCCCGCCGCTCGCGCCTGGCCACGAGGCTGTGGCGCATTGCTGCCGAAAGCGTACTACCCGTGTCCAGCGACGAAGAGGGTCTATACACGCTCTCACGACGCTGACAACTATGAAGCACCGCTCATCGTCCCACTTCTATAAATGGAATTGCAACCCAGTCGAAATAGGGCAGGCGCGCACACACACGCGCCGGCCCCCTGCTGCTCACCGCGCGCGAGCCACAGCCGCGCCTGCGCTCACGCCCTCTTGCTGCGCCCCATGCCGCGTGACGCCGCGACGACCGCTTGCCTCGCCCCCGACCACGACCGCGACCGCCGATGGCACCGGCCGCTGGCAAGCCCAGGTGTTCACGATCCATTTCTCGCTGCCCGCCCCCGCCACCGGCTGCCCAGAGTGCGCCATCCGGTCGTCCAGGGTGCCATCTTCAAAGGCCGGGAAGAAGACCACCGCGTCCCCCTGGACAGGCCGCGTGCAGAGGCCGCGAAGCAGCGGGTGGTGGAACTTGGTGCCGCCGCCCTGGCCAGGCTCGAGGGTGCGCAGGTAACACACGACCTGAGGGGGGGTGGGGGCCGGCGCGGCCGCAGCGAGGGGGGGGTGCGTCCGTGCGATTGGCGACAAGCGGCTTTGAGGGGAGGGCGGCTGCTGCGAGGGGTGGTGCGGGCGGCAGGTGCCGTTGCTGGGGGGCGGGGCGAGCGCAGTGGCTGCGCCGCCCGATGGGACGCGGCGGTAGTGAGGCGGCGCTGCGCTCGCACGCCAGGTTAGCCGGGCCTTGATCGTGTGTGCGGCAGGTTGTTTGTGCGTCTTCATTGCAGCGAGCTCACGCCGGCCCCTGCGTGCCCATCCCTTTGACATAGGAGCCCTCCGCGTGCGGCCCCTCCCCTCGCACACACCGCCCTCCAAGGCAGGCGCGCCGGCGCCGCCGCCCGTGGTCCCAGCAGGCTCGGCGGACAGATGGCACAGTGGGCAGGAGCCGTGCACGCAGCAGGCCAGGCGGGTCATGCACACACACCAGGCACATCTGCACACCCACCTGTACGAGCCTCTGCCCGCCTGCAGCCAGGAACTCCTGGAGGCCAGATGGGTCCCCCGCCGGGCGCCCGTCAAAGTGCACCCGCTGCTGCTGCCCTTCCCGGTAGCGCGTCACGGTCGGCGGCTCCAGGTGCGACGGCAGCGTGGCCAGCAGCGCTGACGTGGACAGAACGAAGGCGCGCGCAGCGGCTGCCGCCGCCGCCGGGTCCGCCGCCGGGTCTGCCAACTCGCGCTGCGGCTTGCCGCTGTCGAGCGGCGTGGCGCGCCCGTCGCCGCAGCGCGGGCGGAAGAGGTTTGCGACGGTCCACTTTGTGCCAGAGAAGACGCGGCCGCCGATGGCGTGGCGCGCGCCGAAGTGGGCGGCCGCCAGCAGGCCGCCGACCGCGGCGCTCCATTTCAGGAGCGCAAGCGCGAGCGTGGCGAGGGCGGGCAAAGAGGAGGGGTCCGAGGCCGCGGCGCCGCCGCTGTGGAGCGTGTCGAATGCGGCGCCGGCGGCGATGACGATGAGAAGGGGCCAGAGTTTGTGGGTGTCTATGAGCACTGTGGGGCGAGAGACAAGATGGCCCAGGAATCATAGAGAGTGGAAACAGTCAGTCCCGGGGGGGGGGGATGTTTGGAGGATATGATCTGGGGGATGCGGGCAACCGGGTGCGGGCAAGTGAATGCGCATGCATGCCGTGCGCGTGGAGGCGTGCGCGACCCGCGCGCGGGCCGACGGGCAGGCCGGTCCTTGCTCTCTTGCTGGTGGTGCAAGCATCTCGGCTCTGCCACCAGCCCGGCGCGTCGCAAGCCCGCAGTGCCCGCAGCGCACGAGACGCGCTTACTGACTGCAGCCCCAGTAGCCAAGTGCACAGCCAGACCCGCAAACCGCCGACCTGAGTTATCGTAATCGAGGCCATCAAGCAGCCCGCCTCGCGCCGCTGCGACCAGTGCGTCGCATTCGTCGGGCGACAGGAAGTTGTGGACTAGGTAGACTGGCGGCTCGGCGTGTACCAGCTCCACCCCCGGGCGCGCCGTGTCGATGAAGGGGTATTGCTGCCGCCGCGCGCGGCCCGCCGGCGTGGGCTGCAGGGGCGCCGGCGCCGGCGGCGCGTGCGGCGCGGCGGCTGGGTGCCCGTCAGCGCGGGGCGAGAGGATGCGGGCCAGCGCGCGGGCGGATGCGGGCAGCGTGCGGGGCCTGGTTGGCGGGCGCGGGTTGGGCAGGCGCCCGCTGGGCAGCGGGCGCGCCGCTTCGAGCCTCACAGCCCGCGTATAGGTTGAGGATATATTAAATACGCTATTCATGGCTACGCACCGGCCTGGTGCTCGTGCAATCAGCGGGTTTTGTGAGAGATCCGACACGAGCAAACACCAAAAGGCTAGAGATCCTCCACAGTGACGTGACAACTTGAATACTACACAACCGATTCTTTCGCGCGGTTGTCCTGGCAGCAGGCCCGCTGCGTGCACATACTGTAATTAGTCAAACGCGCATGACATGTCATCTCCACGTGCATTATACTATATGTTCGTTTCTGCACTACAGATGATGATAGATAAGTAGGATAAAAGGTTTAACATCATGGGAGAGGCACAATGATGTGGTGAAGAGACTGACAGGCCACGAGCCAACTGCTCGCGAGGCTGACTGCAAGCTGACCACATGCAAAGCACCGGCAACAGGGAACCCCACAAACAGCCGGCATCCACAAACCCTCCTGAGTGTCCTCGCATTGATTGAAGTTGGCGTCCCAAGCCGCGTCTCACAAGCAGAGTGCTGTACTAAGACAGCCGCCCGAAGGGTATCCACGCGCACTCCCAAGGCAAGGGCATACCTACTGCCATTGCGTTCATGTTCACGGCCAGGCGGACGTAATGGTGACCACAAAGTTGCCCCTTTCCCCCCTCCCTTGAAGGGGCTTTCCAGGAACAATGCGCCCCGAACGGCAGGGGGTGCGCCTGGGCGCTGCGCGTCCCTTGATGTATTGGGCCACAGGCACAGGCCATACGAACGCAACAACCCATGCAGTTCACTCCATCCCGCCTGCCAGCGTAATGTGGTGTGACTCGCGAAGGGGGGCGGAGAGGCATGCTCCAATTGGCGGATGCGGAGGCCTCGTGCATTGTGAAGCCTACTTTGCTAGTGCCCCTTGGACTGCAACGTTATTTTAGCAAAGAAGACCCATGCACCACCAATCAGGGGGGGCACACCGTTTCCGGGCAGTCCAGCGCCTGCCACTGATTACATTGTCACCCTGCAAGCAGGGCAGTCGAGATTACAGCACCTGGTGCCCGCCATGACTCAGTGCATGCTGCCAGCACCAGATGTGCACAATTCGTGAAGCACCAGATGTGCACGAATCGCACCATCTGCCTACAGGAATGCGCGCTGCGACACAGGTCGAGCAGCTGGTTGCGACACCGCCCGGCTGTGCAATGTTGCTGCAGGGCGGCAACTGGAGCAGACGCGCCCTGCGCTACACGCAGGGCGGCACAGTGTCAAGGGGCGTGAAGACGCACCAATAAGACGATCCCTGATGAATCTATACGTTGAGGAAACAGAAAGGACATGTTGGGTTGAGTCAAAGTATACTTGCCAGCCCTCTCGCAACGCGGTCACGTACAGTTTCATGCCTATAGGAAACATTAGACTCGATAAAACTTGCAAAGCCACACAGTTCCGCCTGCAGGGGAGATGCAATCCGCATTCAAGGTCAGCAAATTAGCCAGCAGTGGGGCCACTGCTGCTCCGCGGGCAACCAGTCCAACTCAATGGATCATCACTCCACTTTGACGACCGCCTGCTGCCTGCACGCTTCCGCTTCCCTGCCGTTCCTCTTTGTGTATGCTTCACATATCGACCGGGCGAAGTCCTCCTCCCTGGTGCCGCCAGGACAGTGCGACCTGCGAGCAGGGAGGTCGCAAGGCCGCAGCGGGTCAGGAGTGCCACCAACGCGGCAAATTCCTGGCTCGCAGCGCGGGGGCACGTGTGGTGTCAACGCATGCATGCTGCAGCGCTTGAAGACGGGCCGCACGCGCTCAAAAGCTGAAACCATGACGTGCACGCTTTTCCAGGCGTGGCGCCCGTCAACGCTGAACCTAAAGAGCCAAAAACCCGCTTTCCAAGCCAAGAACACGCCATACAAGCCGAAAACACGCCTTTCAAGCCGGAAAGCGTGCCGCGCCGCTCACCAGGCGCCGTCCTCCCGCACGCACCGCCGCTGCCCCTCCAGGTGGATGACGCAGCCGCGCCACGCATCGCGCTCCGCCACCGCCTTGGCGCTGCGCGCCATCAGTTCGGCCCCCTCCGGCCCCGCGGCGCATGCGAGCATCTGCGCGCGCGCCTCGCCCGCCGCGCCGACCTGCGTGCGCGTTTGGCGGCGCACCGGCGGCACCAAAGTGAGGACCCATCAAACCGCTCGCGAACGCACAGCGCTGGCGGCGCCATTCGGCCCGCAACAAATCATACAATAATTGCTGCAACCCATTGCTCATCGCGACAGCCCCTCATGTGACCGCTGAGTGCCCGCACCTTGTCCATGCAAGCGTTCAGGAGCGCCTGGCTCGTCACATGCGGCCCACTGTCCCAGGAGCAGGTCAGGAATTTGTAAAACCAGTCGTAGTTGCGATCTGGGGGCGTGTGGCGGCCGACGCACAGCTGTACGAGGTTGCGGGCGCACTCCTCGTCGCCGTTCGGGCAGATGATCTTGTCGCCGCTCTCATGCTGTATGAAGCTGTGGGTGGGTTGGGTGTGCAGGCGCGCGTGCAGATACGCAGTCAATCATCAATCCGCTCTCAGATCAGGCAGGACATATAAGACAGGAACATGCGCCGCTGCACATGCCTCATGAATCCCAGTTTCAGAGAACATTGGCGCAGATAAAGTCGCCCTCGGCCCTTTTGCAACTGGCCGCAGCGGCACTCACTGCGCCTCCACCCTAACGGCCCCCTTGAGCCGCGCGACCACTCTGGCCAGATCGCACTGGCATGCATTGGTGTCCGCGCCCTGGCTCATCCCAAAGATCTCCAGAAGCGCCCGCGGGTCGGTCCCAGGCGCATGCTGCTGCGGGTGTTGCTGCTGAGGTGGCTGCTGTGTAGGCTGCTGTGTAGGCTGCTGTGACACATGATGCTGCTGTTGCTGCTGCTGCTGCTGCTGCTGCTGCTGCTGCTTTGGCTGCTGCTGCTCCTGCTGCTGCCAGTAATGCTGCTGAGCCTGCGGCTTGTCAGCGTGCACAACCTGCGCCAATCGCGGCATCTCGGCTGCCACCAAGTTTGGCACTTTCGCTGGGCCAGCAGATACAGCAGTGTGGTGCGGGCTGGACTCTGATTTTGGCTGCCAGGATCCATGCTGCTCACCTGTGCTCAGACCAGGCTGCTTCAATGGTGATTGCTGCTCACCCGGCCGTGGCGCAGCCAGCGGTTGCACCGCTTCGGGGCCCTGCGGTTCAGCCGGGCCCACCCTGCGAGGAACAGCCTTGCTGCTGGCGCTGGAATCCCTAACTTCTATAGTCAGAATTGGTGAGGCGAGCCAGAAAAGGATTGAGGTCGCCAGCACAGCTGCGAAGACGAGTGTAGGGCCCCATCTGGGCAGTGCGCTGCCTGAATGCGAGTTACTGAGGCGCGACAGACGTCCCAACTTTCCAGTCATGATAAATACGCCGGTATCACCACGCAAAGCGCAGGAACCCGACTATATGGCGGACAGCTTCCAGCCTAGCGGGTCGCAGGTACCATGCGTAGAGCGAGCGAGCGTATGCTTCTGTATTTAGAAAAGTAACCCCCTCGTAGGTCAATGAAGTAGCCGGGCCATCCCCCCGATTTGCCAGCTCCTGCACTTCGCCTGCGCTGGCCCGCCTGCGTCATTGCTCCTCGCGCACGCCCTCCAAACGCAAAACGCCGCACCACAGCTGCACCAGGCCATGCCCTTACAACTTCACATGCCCCGTTTACAGCCACCGACGCCACTCCTACTGCCCTAACCGCTGCTTCCACTGCAGCGCCTGCCGCCGCGCCGCCGCGAACGGCCCGACGCGCTCTCCTGCCGGCGAGTAGAACACTGCGTCGACTGTGTCACCCCGCTCCCGCAGCTCAACCAACCAGCCGGGCTGGAATCCGTCCAGCTCAGCAAACCGCTCCCTTCTGGACGCAAACTCCTCTGGCAACTCCGAGATCGGCCCCCGCTCGTACACCACGCGCCCGCCCTCGCCGCCGCCGCCAACGCCGCCGCTGCCGTTGCTCGCCGCCCCCGCGCGCCGCGCTGCCGCCGCCGCCGCCGCCCCCGACGGCCGCGC